TAAGAAAACCACCGATCAAAACCCTAACTATTAAAAAGAAAAGGAAAGGAAACTCTCTCTCAAGAAACTCGACAGTCGGAAGGTGAAAAGTGCCAACTGAAATAGCATTGTGCATGTGAATATCACTTCAACAGAAATTCCAAAATAAAGGGCTAGGATATGGACACGTGTCGCTGTCCTAAGAAAACGTTCCTACTTAAAAAAAGTGTTTTAGTAATGCGACATTAGCCAAATTTTGGAAACACATCATAGATCACCAGTTCGAGCATCAACAATCTCCACCTTGCTACCAGAAATTTGAGACCAAAAAGTACAGTCGGAGCAAACATCAACAATTTAATCTTCATTTGCTCCAAGTACCTGTTTAAGCATTATAAAGTATCAATAGATAATAACTTCAAACAATTAAGAAATTTGTTTTAAAGTATTATTTTAGTTCCCATGTCTTAAAGATTAAATTGGGTAGAAATCTTACCAATTTTCGAAATTCCTTTTGAAATAATATCTTTAATAAAATGATATTTAATGTCAATGTGCTTAGTCCTATCATAAAACATGGGAGTTTTACTCAAATGTTTAGCACTTTGGTTATTTGAATGCAGAGTTGCATTTTCATTAACAAAACCAAGTTCATTCAGCATCCTACTTAACCAAATACCTTCTTTAATGGCATCAGAAGTATCAATACATTATGCTTCAATTGAAGACAAAGCCACAACCTTTTGCAGTTGAGATTTCCAACTTATTATAGTATCACACAGAGTAAAAAAAAAGCTGAAGTAGACTTCATATTGTCTCTATCTCCAGCACAGTCGGAATCAGTAAAGCCCTTCAAAGTTATCCAATCTTTGTTCATTTTAAACACAAGACCAAAATCTAAAATTCCTTTCAGATATCATAAAAGCCATTTTAAAGCATTTCAATGTTCTTCCCTAGGTTACTCATGAATATACTAAGTATGCTAATACTATGAGCAATGTCAAGTCTTGTATATACAATTAAATGCATAACAGATCCAATCACATTTGCATATAAAATTCTAGACATTCTAGTAAATTCTTCATCAATTTTAGGACAAAACTCAGATTAAAAGTTTAAAAAGGTTTGAAAAAGGTAATGTAACAGATTTACAGTTGATAACTGTGTTTTACATACTTATTTAGGTCACAAAACACGAAAAATTATTGATGTATATGTTGAAATATGACTTAATTCGATATAATTTGTGTATGTAGGATTACATTGATGGATTGAATGAAAAGTATGAGAAAATGAACGAAAAAGGGCCAAAATGGAAGAATATGAAACTCCGAGGGCCAAAATGCAATTATTCAAAAGATGACCGAATGATGAATCAAGCATGACGTTGAGCTAAGTAACATATTGTGATATCATGGGATGTTAGAAGAAGAAGGAGGAGAAGAAATCATGGCCAAAAGGTGGATGAAACAAACTTGGGAACAAAAGTGAATCAAAGGAAAAATAACTTCTACCATGCAGTCGCATGGTAGAAAGTCCATGCAGTCGCACAAGCATCTAAAGGAGTTGAACAGTAAAAAATTTGTATAACCATGCTATCGCATGGGTTTATACCATGCAGTCGCATGGTTCATTCTGGGCGGGAATTTTCTGGTTTCCTTATTTGAATCAAACACTTATGGTAATGCATCTAGAACTTCTTTATAACCCTAATCTCGTCCAGAAAAAGGGGCTACGCATTCTTAGAGAGAAAAANATGCATTCTTAGAGGGAAATCAACATTGAAGAGCACGGAAGACAGCTAGAACAAGGGATTTCATTCAAAATTCAAGATTTCAAGCCTAATTTCTAGTTTTTGGGTGATGTCTTCTCTTTATTATTTTTATTGTTCTTTTATTTTATCCATGTTAGGCTAGACTTTTCATATACTAGGTGAGCGATGAACCTCGCATTGTGATCTTTTAATTTCTATTTTTCAATTTGATACTCAAACACGTTTGATGGGTGTTGAATGATTTATGTACACTTTCTTGCCTCCATGATTATAGTGCACGATAATTGTGTGGGTTTGGGTGGTTTATTTTATGCATTCGAAAGAAGAGAAAAAAACTCAATAAGGTATAAATCATCGTTTTGTTCATAGAGGATAGAAATATACCGATATGCATTACGTGAATTTCTAAGTGTTTGCAAAACTTCATGCATTCTTGTATATTGCATTTGTCATAGAAATATAGTCAAATGGTAT